GAATATTGGAATCTTGGACCAGAAGGAGGAAAAGCATTAGCAGATGCACTTTGTAAGAACACCACGCTGACTTATTTGAGACTTTACCGTAACTATCTTGGACCAGAAGGAGGAAAAGCATTAGCAGATGCACTTTGTAAAAACTCTACGCTGACTACTTTGCATCTTCAAGATAACAATCTTGGATCAGAAGGAGAAAAAGCACTAGTAGATGCACTTTGTAAGAACATCACTCTGACTTCTTTGTATCTTTGTTGGAATAATGTAAGGTCGGAAGGAGTTAAAGCTTTAGTAGATACACTTTGTATGAACACCTCGCTGACTTTTTTGGATCTCACCGGCACTGATCGTGGACTAGAAGGTGGAAAAGCACTAGCGGATGCACTTTGCAAGAATACCACGTTGACTTATTTGAATCTCTCAAAAAATAATCTTAGATCGGAAGGAGGAAAAGCATTAGCAGATGCACTTTGCATGAACACCTCTCTGACTTGTTTGAATCTTAGTTATAATAATCTTGGACCAGAAGGAGGAAAAGCATTATGTGATGCACTTTACAAAAACTTTACATTGAAAAAATTGGATATTCGTCCTAATAGCATTAATTTTACCAGAATATCTAATAATCCAAATATCGAAATATTGCAATAAATTGTATATAATATAGATTTAAGCATAATATTAAATCGTGTAAATCAATGTAAATTGCAATAATTACCAGCAAATAAACAAGTAAATTTGTTTTAACCACTTTACTCGTAAACAGAGAGAGGGAAAGAACAAGGGAAAAGGATTTGTTTTAAATATATTTATATTACTTATAAATATCAAGAAAAATAAATTTAATAATAATTTTCTTATATTAAACTGAATCTAATTATATTAATTGGGAGTTTAAAAAATCCTACTTCTATTTTTAAAATTCAGATTCAGTGAATTAAATAGGCACACACGTTAATAAGATTAGTTTGTTTTTTGATAGATATCTACCGATAAATAATTATGTAAATAAGTCTATACGTTAAAAAAAATAGGATTAATTTATCACATATTTTATGTCACATATTTTATCTGAAATCAGACGCCGAATCATTAAATGTGAAACCCTAACATCAGGAGATTAAATGAAGTAGGTATACGCGGTATACTTCGGTGACTAATGACTGTACAATTTTTCACCACATTCGGCGATCTACGAGTACACAAAACTGCGGAAATAATTGTTTTTAAGCAACTGCATTAATAATCACTAGTAAAAAAAATGCGAGAATAATCAACTACGGAAATAGCCATCCATAAAAAAAATGCGAGAATAATCAACTACGGAAATAGCCATCCATAAAAAAAAAAATACTTCAATAATAGAAACCAATTTATTGCTTCCAACTAAATATGAAATTATTATAGAAACTATCGCTATCAATTGATATGTAATATATGAATGAAAAATACTGTAAATACATATGAATAATTGCGAGCAAAAGTTGACAATAAAGTACTATTGTACAAATTTATTCAAATAATCGCGCATCTTCATTAGTATCATTCTCAGAAAGTTCTTCGATGTCATTATCATCATAACCATTTATATTACTTTCATCTCTTGATTCATCTTGAATATTCATGATATCATTTTTACTCGGAACTTGGTTTGCATTTAGCTGTACCTGTTATAATATAAAAAAAGTAATACTTAATAAAAAAAAAAAAGCTTATTGTTAATATAAATACAAATGAATACTTACCAAAAAAATAGTACAACATTTTTTAACAACTTCTTCAGTGCATCGGATATCTTTACTATATGGATTTAAAACAGTGCAACAGATTGCAAGCGCAAAAGCGATTATTGGTGGTTTTAAGCAGTCTTCCTTAGCTTCTCTAGACATAGCTTTCATGATAATTGTATTAATTGTTGTAAGATTATTATCATTGACTTCCCATAATTTATTATATGCCTCAGAGACCTGTGGATTTTTTTTCCATTCTACAATTTTTTTACCCACATTCGTTTTGATTTCGGGAATTTCAGGAAAATTTTAAAGAGTGCAAGCAATATATCTTTAGCAAATGCACTTCGACAGTGTCTCATTTTTTCAAGATACTACAAAGTCCAAATTAAAGTATTAGTATATTAAAAAAAAAGTAAGCATTATAATATATACAATAGGCAAAAGCTCTGAATAAAATCGAGAATCCCATCTACGTTCTTCAATATCTTTCATATATCCTTTGAACCATCTTTCTACATAAATCTCAAGATGTTCTTTAAATAATTCTGCAGTAGAATATAATGATATCTTTTGAATCTCTTTAATAATAGTCACAATACCCTTCTATTGCATTACAAAATAATAAAATGCTTAAGTATTTAAAATATTATTAATCTATTTTTACAATTATCGATTTTTCAAAAAAGGCAGATGATAAACTGTCTTCTTGCTGTAATTTTAAGATAACTTTCATCATTTTGTCAAGTTTTTTATCTTGTTTAAGTTGATTTTTCCAGAAAACTTTGTTTTGAGCATTAAGTCTTTCTAAAAACTTCGAAGGAACTGAACAATAATCATTATTTTCTAATTTATTTATTAAAAAAAAAATTAAAATAAATCTTAAAGTTCGATAGATATTAAATTATATTATATCTGTGCCAAATTCTTAAATATATTCATACTTTCAATATTAACTGTGTTTTTTTGGTTGCATTTTTGTGATATATCTGAAATAAAAAAATTATCCTGTAAAGTATTTTGATCACTGTATTCTTTATTAATATCTGAAGAATAATTATCATCACTATCTCTTTTTTTGCTATTATTATAAACTCCATAATTATAATTATTTTTTTCTCTATAATCGTGATCGTAATTATTATCTTCTTTATGATTGTAATCATCATCTTCTCTATGATTGTAATCATCATCTTCTCTATGATTGTAATTATTATCTCTATAATCATAATCATCATCTTCTCTATAATCGTGATCATTATCTTCTCTATGATCGTAATTATTATTATCTTCATGATTGTAATCATCTTTTTCTCAATGATCATAATCATCTTTATCTCCAAGATTATTATTATCTTTTTTTTCACAAACATCATCATCTTCTTCTATATAATCATTATTAAATAATTTTTTGCCAGTTTGCAGAATGTTATTTTCATAAGCTTTTGTATTTTTTAAACTATTCATTTGACTTTGAGTTCTTTGTTGAAAAGCACGTAATGTTTATGGTAGACCTTTTAACATTGACTTTTTAAAACCATCTATAAATTATAAAAATAAATTTAAATATATGAGATTATTAATAAAAACTTTTTACTCTTTATGAACATTATATTCATCATTCATTAAAGGATTATTATCATTAGTTTGTAACATGTTATTTTTATATTCTTTCTTTTCTAAACTGCTTGTCTTGCTTAGAGTAGTTCTTTGATTTTGTGATAAACTCTTTAATGACAGCCTTTTAGAACTATCTATAATAATTTAAAATGACAAATGTTTATTAAAAATTATCAAACGGCATAGACCACAGTATTTTGTATAGACAAATATCGTGGTTCATGCATACTGTATAGTAGTTAACATACTTGTAGTTATTGGTTCAAGAAGTTTTCTTTTTCTTGAAGTTTTTCCAGATGTTGAGAAGAAATTTCCATAAAATTGTATATATTTTTAGTAGCTAAATCTTTAGCTATTTTAAAACAAAACTTAGTTAAAGTTTAATATACGTTATACTTAAAATTTTATTATAATAAAAGTTACATTTTCTTCCCCTTTTTGAGCTATTTCTTTCTACTATTTTTATTAAATACTTTTTGTATTTTAAAATAAAAGTCGATCAATAGAGTATTTAAAGGTTCAACTTTTAATAATTGTAATAAAGAATAAGATATAAATATTTATATATGAGTATCATCAAAAGAAAATCTGCCATTGGGCTTTCAATTATTTCTTGTACCAGACATAATTACTAATAAATCAAATAGATTGAGTCTATATAAAGTAAAATCGAAAGCCTAATAGCAGATTTTCCTTGACGGCACTCATATTTCAAAAAAAAATTATTAAATTAACAGTAAATAGAAATAGATCAGAGCATAAATAAAGATATAAAAGTCTTAGAGGTTTGGCTTAAATTTTTTTTTTGCTAATCTTGGCTTTGACCTATTGTATATACCAATTTTATACGTATCTTGGTCTGTCTCTATTATCATTAGTATCTTATTCAGAACATTAAAAATATTATAAATCAACGTTGTCCATATGAAGGATGCTATAGAACTTTTACAAAACAACAAGGATTATCACTATATATTCAATACTAGAATACTGTTATGTATCAAAACATTCAAAATTATAATAGCGAACAAGATATAGAATCTTCTCACAATGAAGAGTTATTTGAAAATTTAGAATTATTCAATATCAAGGTAAATTTTTAAAAATTTAAAATATTTATTTAATAAATAATAATTATTATAAATACTAATACTGTATAATATATCTAATACATATATATAAAGAATTCTGATAATATTTCAACAGCTGGGATATTAGATGTATACCAGTTTTCTAATTCTGCTTGTAATATAATTGAAGTACTGAATGAAATTTTTAAGAAAAATATAGAATCTAATTATAATTTTGAAGAGGTTGTAGAAGATCCTACTATAGAAGATTTCAATATAGAATTTAATGATGATGAAATTTCTGAAGAGTTGATTATAGAGGATTTTAATACAGAATCTGAAGAATCAAATATAGAGGATTCTAATACAGAAACTGATTCAGTAGATTTTGACAACTTTTATGAAGTTAGTTTTGAAAATGCTGTTATTAAAACAATGGAAATTATATTATTCCAGAATAATCTAATGAAATTTATCAAGAATTTGCTAAACTTTGTATTGATTATGATTTATCAAATCCAACTGTAGAAGCAAGACGCAAATCACTAACTCTTTCCAACGATCACTTGTACCAAATTTTCTCTAAAAACAATCACTCTATTCTCTAAA